AAATTGGGATCCATGTTTATAAACATTCTTTGCCATCCATCCCCAAACATTCTCGATGGGGTTTCAATCTGGAAAGCGTTGTGGATTGCAGCAGTGTTTTGCTAGAAAATCCAGTTTTCTCCACGTAAATGAGGGCCTTCAGTAATTGGCGATGCCTTTCTTAACATGTCAGTGTAACTAGCAAACTGTTTGATGACCTTTTACATCCTTTAACTCAAGATTTCTATTGTACGAAAATGAACCCCAGACCATCATTGATCCACCTCCACTGTGTCAAGTTGAGAAAATTTTTGGGGACATCTTTTGCATGCCAATAACGCTGAAAACGGTCTGGACCATCAAGATTGAATTTTTTCTCGTCGGAAAACAACACTTTTTTCATTTATCCATATCCCAAGTTTGATAATTGGAAGCAAATTGTAAACGAGAAGTTTTATGGCGAAGAAGGCGAAGGCGAGGCCTCTGCGGCCGTTTCAAGTTCTTAAATCCTTTCTTATTTAAATGCTGTCGAATTGTTCGAGAATTGCATTAAGCATCTGTATACACTTTTATCTGATTTGATGTTAGGTTTGAATCTCTCTTAACTCTCGTGAGATTTTATTGGGGCGAACGCTTGATTTTTTAGAAGCATATGCATCCAGATTTTTAATGAAGTTAGCAATGATAGTTCTGCTACGGCCAATTCCATTTGCAATGGTTCGTTGCGAAATACCATGTCTTTGAATTTCAACAATCCTGCCCTGTACGAACTTTGTTAAAATGTTACCCTTAGCTAGTTTAAAATCTGAAATTTAATACTGGAAATGAGCTACGTAGATGTCTACACGCCTGAAGCTATGAGCACACTGACTAGTTCTAAATTTTTTGTCCAGTAATTTGTTTTTTCACATATGGTCTTATATTTATGATCAACCAAAAAATCATTTCTTTAATGTTTGTTTAAATTAATAAATTAAAAGCTTAAAATTTTCACTTGTTTGTTGATAAACTACATTTTCTAATTAAATGTAAATGTTTCGCAAATATGTTTTGATTAAAGTAACTGTATTTTATATTTTTACCCCTTGTGTATCTGGTCTTAAGATTTTGACCAGGGGTATATTAACAATACTCTGAACTTCTTCAAAGGTTAGAAATTACTCTCTGAATACTGTCGAAGATTAGAACAAAGAAATTTTTCTAAGGTTAGAATCAACATTTTGAAAGTCAATGTCAAATTGTGAAATTCTGGATATCTTAATGGCAAGATCGAATATGTATCATTACTTACGATTAAAATCTATAAAATCTTTCTCTTAAAAAAGATTTTCAGTAAAACAGGTTTCTCAAGTCCTGGAGCTTTTATCGCTCTGTCTAGTATTAATGGAGGTTTCCTTCCTAACCCTTTGTTTAAAGTAGTGTGGAAGGTTAATATCTTATATCATTATTTCCTTTTTTGAATTACACGTGCTACCTATTTCTTTGTTTATTTTGGTGGTGTCGATGTTGGAAGTCTTCAAGTAATTTATTTTTATTCTGTAAAGTTATTTGTGAATCTGTAGCGTCAGTCTATTAAACGAAAGACAGTCCTTATCAAGACCTTCCAGATTTCATTCACTTGAACCTGTATTTAATCATTGATCTGACTGTTTGGTTGATTTTGTTTAGCGGCATATCAATCTTTATGTGTTATTTAATCCCAAAATCTATTTTAAAAAGCAATTATATGCCTTCATCTACAGGTAAAATGTATTGTTGGTAATTTTGCTATAAAATATACAGGTTTTCCATAAAGTTCGTGTGCACTTTAGAGTTATAAATTATTTAAAGTGCACAGGAACTTTATGGACAGCCTGTATTGTTGGTCATTTTGCAATGAAATGTATCGTTGGTCATTCTACTATAAAATATACAGGGTGTCCATAAAATTCGTGTGCACTTTAAAGTTCTCAAATTTTTAAAGTGTACACGAACTTTATGGACACCCTGTATTATTGGTCATTTTACGGGAATATGTATTGCTAGTCATTTTGCTTTAAAAATGTATTGTTGGTAATTTTACTATAAATATGTATTGTTGGTAATTTCCTTTTAAATGTATTTTTATACTTTCACAGTATTTTGTTTTTTGTTTGGGGTTTTACTATTTGCCCATAACAAGGACCCTAACAGCTGCTACCACTCTACATTGATCTGAGGAAATGTTTGTATATAGCTGATAATTTGGACGTTTCTGAATGGGTTGGACCCCATACATGACATCCATATGAAAGTCTCGATCAGACGAGGCTATTTATGAACATCACTCAAGTCCTTAAGGTAATGCCTTGATTAAGTAGCGACTTGGGATATTGTACCCCGTAATATAAATAGTTTATATTTTTCCTAAGTAAGTTCACTACAAGCAAGACAATAAGACCACTAAGTCACAAGAGAATACAAGGTGTGGAAGAATTAGAAAACAGATACATTACTAAGGAGCGGGAATAAAGAAAGAGCAATGAAGAAACCAGTAGACAGCGATTGAAATTGCCTTTAAATTTTTGAAGATTAATGTTGGTCGGTAAGCATGGAACCGGAAGGAAGTTCAACAAGCGAGAAGTGCAAGAAAAGAAAGAGATAGCATATAAATAATGGCTACCGCTAGTCACCTCAACTGTAAATTAAATGAAACCTCGTTACCAGTCTAGTATTGTGCTTAAATTCATAAAGGCTAGGCACCATAGCAAAGAGCGATATTTATTTGTAATTTATTTACAAAATGTGGAACAAAGCCAAAATGGGGAAAAAATGGTCTTCTTCTGTCTTAATGTTAAACTAGCCACAAAGATTGACCCAAACATTTAACAAAATCCTTTACACCAAAACAACGCATTCTTACTTACCTTTCTTACTACATCCACCATAATACCTCATTGTGTCTATGAAAGTCCTAACTAAACCCCATTCATTGTCTGCGGGGAGGGGAATAAAACAACAATTTAAAAATGAGTATTTGCAATATGAATACACCATAGCAAAGAGCTCATCCGAACAATTACCATGAAAGTATTTATAGAAAAAGCTCAAGGAGGCAACGTTACGGCGGTGGGAAAGTAACTGCAAACGAGACGCCAGGTAAGGACCAATAATATTGCTGATTCTTCTTTGGATTTTATTAAGAATTTCTAGATATAAAGCAGGAGCTCCGGGTCATATGTGGCAGCAATATTCTAAACATAGACGAATGAAAACTTATGGAGGTGCAAGATAGGTTCCGTGAAGAAATAGATACCTTCCTTATAAAGTAACGGCTAATATTACCATCACCATAAGATGAAGAGAACAGATACTACACTTTGATTCCATCCCTATGGCCAGGGAGTGAAAAAAGCGTAATGAGTAGCACTGGCTGCTCGGTCGATGAATGCCGAATGTTTCCTTATAAGGAAACGGCTAATATTACCATCACAATTAGAGATGAGGAGAACAGATACTACACTTTGATTCCTTCCCTATGGCCAGCGAGTGAAAAAAGCGTAATGAGTAGCACTGGCTGCTCGGTCGATGAATGCCGAATGTTTCCTTATAAAGTAATGGCTAATATTAACATCAACATTAGAGATGAGGAGAACAGATACTACACTTTATTCAATCCCGATGGCCAGGGAGTGAAAAAACGTAACGAGTAGCACTGGCTGCTCGGTCAATTAATGCCGAATATTTCCTTATAAGGGAACGGCTAATATTACCATCACCATTAGAAATGAGGAGAACAGGTACTACACTTTGATCCCGGCCCGATGGCCAGGGAGGGAAGAAAAGCGTAACGAGTAGCACTGGCTGTTTGGTCAATGAATGCCGAATGTTTCCTTATAAGGAAACGGCTAATATTACTATTACCATTATATGAAAACATTTGGTACTCATTGTCCTAGCAACCATTGAAACTCAAGGGATGCTATTCTTCACTGCCTCGTTATCGGGTTGGGATCAAAATATAGTATCTGTTTTCCTCTAATGACAATAGTATTTTTAGCCGTTTCCTTACAAGTAAACATTCAACATTTATTGACCTGGCACTCAGTGCTATTTTCGTTTGAAATTTATACGGTCTTTCTATTAAAACGATTTTTCAAGAAAATAAATTTCTCAAGTTCATTTTCTGTTATCACTCTTTCCAGTATTGATGGAAGTTTCCTCCCTAAACTTTTATTTAAAGTAGTGTGGAAATTAACAAGTGATTATGTGGATATTTCCTCTACCGAGTCACATATGATATCAATTTTAATTACTGCCGCTTTTGAAAGTCCTCAATCGACGCGGTTTCTGTTATTTGGTACAGTACTGTGTTTGTGATTGCGTAGCGCCTGTTCTCAAGATTCAAACAAGGATGGTCCTCGCCAGGAATAATAAAATTACCTTTTTCTATTTTATATTTGACTTAATTTGATTGCCACCCATTGGATAGAGTTTTTGCTTTTTACTAATCTTCACCCAATACAAGGACCAAGAGCTACTCAAGTTAGAGGGTTACTTTGTGGAGTTATATTAGCGTAGAAGAGGACAAGGATTATGAATTTGGAGCTAAAGTAGACTTCAGAAGGGACCGGAAATCCAATCCTAAACAGCAAACAAAGGATAAAACTCTAGTCCTCTTTAAAAGGACGGGGAGGAGTGTGAACTGGACGATAAGCGAAACTCAATTTTTAAAAGATGATTTAATTTTAATCGAACTTTTGGGTGTGCGGTGGTGTAATGGAAAGCTCGAAATGAGAAACCGAATAGCCGAGTTCGAATTACAGTCGTTTTTGTTATATTGACATACGCGCAAATAACTTTAGGAAATGTATGAACATATATCTTCTTCAACGAACCTTTAGCTATAAGTAAATAGCAGGAGAGACTGGGCCCTATAACCTTAACTGAAAACCAGTCTATAAAGAGGAAAACTCCTTGAGAGGGTTGTATTTTGTCAGGCTATCAAGGTACACCACTGCTGCTACGACTGCAGTAGATATGGTGGCACTACGGTCCTAATGATGACATTTTATATTTTGCTTCTCTCTCTCTCTCTCTCTCTCTCTTTCTCTCTCTATCTCTTCTCTTTCTCTTTTTCTTTCTCTTTCTTTCTCTCCCTCTTTCTCTCTCTCTTTCTCTCTCTCTTTCTCTTCTCTGTCTCTATCTCTCTCTTCTCTTTCTCTTTTTCTTTCTCTTTCTTTCTCTCCCTCTTTCTCTCTCTCTTTCTCTCTCTCTTTCTCTTCTCTGTCTCTATCTCTCCCTTCTCTTTCTCTTTTTCTTTCTCTTTCTTTCTCTCCCTCTTTCTCTCTCTCTTTCTCTCTCTCTTTCTCTCTCTCTCTCTTTCTCTTCTCTGTCTCTATCTCTCTCTTCTCTTTCTCTTTTTCTTTCTCTTTCTTTCTCTCCCTCTTTCTCTCTCTCTTTCTCTCTCTCTTTCTCTATCTCTTCTCTTTCTCTTCTCTTTCTCTCTCTCTCTTCTCTTTCTCTTTCTCTTTCTTTCTCTCCCTCTTTGTCTCTCTTTCTCTCTCTCTTTCTCTTCTCTTTCTCTCTTTCTCTTATCTTTCTCTTTTGCTTTCTCTCTCTTTCTCTCTCTCTCAATCATTTTACCCCAAACAGGGCGGTTATGCCACTAGTATGCAGGGAGTTACAGGAAGTGAAATTGAAAGAGAATGAGAAATAAAAGATTTAGAATAGTGTGTGTGTGGGGGGGGGTAAGGCCTAAAATGAGGAAAGGACTAAAAATAAACAGAGTTCAAGAAGAAAAGAGATGGCCACTGAGATTGCATTTAAATTTTTGAAGATTGTACTTATGAGGGAAGCAAATGGAAAAGAGTTCCATAGACGGGAATTGCAAGAAAAGAGACGCTTGGAGTAGAAGTGGCGGTTTCATTTATCTGTTTCAACAGTAAAACAGTAAAACCTAGTTGCCAATCTAGTAACACACTTAAATTCCTGTAGTCCGGACAGCAGTGAAAAAGGCTCGTCAGAGCAGTTGCCATGAAAATATTTGTAGAAAAGACAGAGGGACGCCACGTCGGTGTGAAAGTCGAGATGCGAAGTCAGGATCGATTACATTACAGATCCTTCTTTGGATTTTACTTTATTTTTCTCCCCGGGGGTGACTGTGGTTTGATGGTTAAGAACACGTAAAATAGAATCAGCGATTGAAATTGCCTTTAAATTTTTGAAGATTAATGTTGGCCGGTAAGCATGGAGTTTAAGCATGTTAAGCCCTTGGGAAAAGGACTGAATTTGCTTCTATCCTGAGCCTTTAACAGTTCAAACTTGGAATCGCCCCTAAAATGATAGTCCTGGAAAAATCTACAATTAATGACTTTCAGGGATCGTTCAAGTAATAAAGACAAAAGTTCATTGCCTCATGTGTCAAATGTCATGTGTCATGAAGCAAAGAAAGCAATTTTTCTTTGATATTTTCTCTTTGTCTCTGTTTCTTTTCTCTCTGTGCGTCTCTCTCCTTTTCACATTACACCTCTTTTTTACACACTGTTTTTCTTTCCTAGTTTCTTTTTTTATTTTTCACAATTTCTGTTTTCCGATTTTCTTTCATTTCTTGTCGTATTTTAGATTCCTTAGCAATCCCACAATGACCGACAGAGAAAAGAAAATGGAAGTGTGAACCATAACGACTATAATGTCGCCAAGCCCAGTGGTTCCCACTCTCTCTCTCTCTCTCTCTCTCTCTCTCTCTCTCTCCCTCTCTCTCTCTCTCTCTCTCTCTCTCTCTCTCTCTCTTGGGCCGCATTTTCGGAATGAAAATTTGCTCGCGCCTCACCAACTTTTATGTGATAAAAAGTACATTTAAAAATAAAAGCACAGAGATAAAGGGAGATAACTTCGGATTCGAAGTCAGAACATTACCATTGATAACTCTCTCCTCCAATTTGCAGACCCTAGTTACTATATTCTTAATACCTGATATAAAGCAAAAATATAACAATGATAAAATTGGTCAACAATTATTTATAACTATTTATACTAGGACTCATTCATGCAATTACAAGTAATCCATAATAATGTTTTAAATTTTGAAATCATATTTATTTTTGACATATGAATGTTTTGAAGCTTCTTTGCTTGTCTTTTAATCATTATGCCTCCCCTGCTATCCTCTTCCGCCATGCCTATGAGGCACACCTCACCGTTTGGCAGCCACTGGCCTAGCCTGTAGCAAAAAAAGGCTGTATTACATCCGTAATCAAACTTGTGTCAAGGAGACTCGTATTTTAAGAAAAAGAAAAACTATAAATATATGCACTAACACGTGCTTCGTATTTTCAAGTTTTGTTTGTTTAGCTCGGTCTGTGAGTATTTCGTAAACAACTTGAAAGATTGCAAATTTTGAAAACATCTGTAATCCATTCGCTTCTCCTAACGGCTGCACGCTTATCTTTTTTTGCCCTCGTAGAGAGTAAAAAATAAAACCCAAACTCTCCTCCATGAACAAGCTTATAAGATGAAACCGATAATTAACCGACTTTGTTTGAACTCTTATTTCACTTAGCTACTGCGTAACAAGTGCTTTTTTTCATCAACGCCCTCTTTTTTTAAGTTAAGCTTAACAATATTCAAGAGCAATAATGTTCGGAGACGAGTCTTACAATTGTGACCACACCAATTCAATCATCATAGCGTGGTGTTTCTACTCAGTGATCAATTTTAAACCTCCCAACCAATTTTCACATGAACAATAATTTTCATAAGAATATATATATATATATATATATATATATATATATATATATATATATATATATATATATATATAAAGGGTGCCCAATAACTTGGATTGATTTTAAATGTGAATTAAGTTTAAGTGTCTAATGTTATTTTTTTCTTTTTCTTTCAGATTTAACAACTTAAGTCTTTGGCAATTTCAACCATGGAAAGATTAACAATCAAACAACGTGTTAAAGTTTCAAGAGAGCATCTGGAAAAATTAATCGTAAATTCAAACAAACTGCTTTTGTGGCAGATGTGAAAACACCATTGCGTTCTCGTTTAGCCATTTTAAAGGATTAAATATTTTAACTGTTAAATAAGAAATAGTTTGTGGTATGTGTGTTTTATAAAATGTTTTCATTTTTCAAAACACGGTCAAGATATTGTGTCCATGTTCAAAGTTAACATTATTAAGTAATTGTTTTTTTTTGTTGTTGTTTGTTTTTATTAATAATGCTTCCATTATTTTAGCCTTATTTGCATGTAGATGATGCTATTATGTTAGTGTTGTTAACAAGCATGTTACGAATAGTGCCGGGTAGGTCTCCATGAATATTTAAATGAAATCTAATTGAGTTATGGTCACAAAGGTGTAGAGTGAGCCTGCGTGTCCAGCATGTTGTAGTGTGGCCTATATAATTATTACGAATTTTGAGTGATCAGGCATACAATTCCTTAATGGGCATTTAAATTCGTAAATAATATTTGCCCTATATTCAAAAAAGAAGGAAAAAAGAATTATATATATATATATATATATATATATAGGGTGTCACCCACAAATGCACTTACTCTTTAAATGACAATGAAGGCAGTGTTCACTGGTTTGTAAACAAGATTAATGGTTGAAATTAAAAACTGTTAATGTCTGTTGACTTACAAAAAGATTTACGGTTTAAATTACATATTAAATGAAATTAAATGTATGCTTATGAATATTCAAATTGACAACGAATAAAAAGTGAGTACATGTTTTGCGGCACACTGCAGATAGATAGATAGATAGATAGATATGTATATATAGTTTTGTTATGCTATATTTGAGTTAAAGTGCATGATATAAATTATGTAGAAATTGTCGGAGCGCTTTTGCCTAAATGTCCGAGCGCTTTCGGTCATACTTTTAACCAAGGTTGATTTTATTTGTACTTTTAACTGATTTTTTATGTATGTATCTAGAGTTATAAGAAGGTTTTATTTTCCAACACATTTGGACAATTTCTACATAAATTATGTTTAAAAAGAAGGGAATTATAAGAACACAAGAAAAATTAAAAAAAAAAAAGAAACTTACCAGCAGTATCTTGTCAGTCATTTTTAAGTAAAATTGTATAGAAAAGGATTGCTGGCCAAACACACACACACACACACACACACACACACACACACACACACACACACACACACACACACACACACACACACACACACACACACACACACACACACACACACACACACACACAAACACACACACAAACACACACACACACACACACACACACACACACACACACACACACACACACACAAACACACACACACACACAAACACACACACACACACACACACAAAAACACACACACACACACACACACACACACACACACACACACACACACACACACACACACAAACACACACACACACACACACACACAAAACACACACACACACACACACACACACACACACACACACACACACACACACACACACACACACACACAACACACACACACACACACACACACACACACACAAACACACACACACACACACACACACACACATACACACACACACACACACACACATACACACACACACACACACACACACACATACACACACACACACACACAAACACACACACACACACACACACACACACACACACACACACATATGTATCATTTATCACATCATAGTGTGTTATCACACACATGTATATATGTTTTAAGACATTTTTATGTTTATACGTTCTTTTATATATAAATGCTCTGTATATATATATATTTACCGGCCTGAATGTCCGATATATATAATATATATATATATATATATATATATATATGGTATAAGTGTGTATATAAGTCTGTTTATATGTATCTATTTATCTCTTTCATTGTGTTTGTATCTATCTATCTTTTTCAGTGTGTTTATCACTTACTTTCTCTATTGATATACATATGTATATATGTTTTAAGACATTTTTATGTTTATACGTTCTTTTATAGATACGAATATTTAAGTAAATGCTCTGTTTCTAATAAACAGTATTAACGACATTTACCGGCCTGAATGTCCGAGAAATTATCACAGAAAATATGTGACGTCATATATATATATATATATATATATATATATATATATATAAACACACACATATAAGTGGTGTGTGTATATAAGTCTGTTTATATGTATCTATTTATCTCTTTCATTGTGTTTGTATCTATCTATCTTTTTCAGTGTGTTTATCACTTACTTTCTCTATTGATATACATATGTATATATGTTTTAAGACATTTTTTATGTTTATACGTTCTTTTATAGATACGAATATTTAAGTAAATGCTCTGTTTCTAATAAACAGTATTAACGACATTTACCGGCCTGAATGTCTGAGAAATTATCACAGAAAATATGTGACGTCATATATATATATATATATATATATATATATATAAACACACACATATAAGTGGTGTGTATATAAGTCTGTTTATATGTATCTATTTATCTCTTTCATTGTGTTTGTATCTATCTATCTTTTTCAGTGTGTTTTTATCACTTACTTTCTCTATTGATATACATATGTATATATGTTTTAAGACATTTTTTATGTTTATACGTTCTTTTATAGATACGAATATTTAAGTAAATGCTCTG